AAAAGACAAGGAAGAAGAGGCTGCAGTGGCACCAATGACAGCTGCTTCGAGTTGACTCATCGGGCATCATGATCACCAGGGAACCGCCTGGGGCTCATCTCCGGGGAGCACAGACCCCAACCCAGCGGCCTTAACCCGCCTTAGTGGCATCTTCTGCTACACAGGCGTGACCGCCGTGGGCGTAGCATTTTACTACATGTCTGTCTGGCTGGCAGTTGCCTGGCTTGCCCTGAGTTTCTCCCTCTCTTTTCCCCTCATTTTCTCTCTCTTCTCATTTTCTCCCCTAGAACCTAGATTCCTCCACCTACTTATTCTCTCTGCCTACCAGCCTGGCTTTTCCCTTTCTTGCCTAGCTACTGGCCATTCAGCTTTTTATTAGACCAGTCAGATGCCATTGGCAGGCAAAGCATCACATCTTTACATCATTAAACAAACGGAGCACAAACAAATGTAATACGTACTTAAACAAATATTCCACAACATTTCCCCTTTTTGTCTAAATAAAAGAAAGGGTTTTAACTTTAACATAGTTAAACTATGTACAATAAGAATAGTCATTAAGTAACAATTAGAATTGCAATATCCAATCCCTTTGCATTCGGGAAAATAAAGAGAAATCACTGATGAGTTCAAAGGCTGTACCTAATTTAGCTTCTATCATGATTAAGGAAAACTGTAACTGTAACTATCTAGTCTTCAACTCCATCAAAGAACCCCAGAAGGATGTAATACTACCTGAGTAAACTGAAAGTGCAGAGAAAGCAACTTCCAAAGCTATAGAAATGACAGAGACCTTTGATTGCCTGGGAAGTCACCCAAGTTTCCTCTGCAATATTGGAACATCCTTCTTTGGCCTACAGGCCTAGACTATCTGGCAGACTTTTCTATGAGGCAGAAATTTTGAAGGACTTTACAGCCTTGTTTTGGCAAAGTCAAGCAGACTTTTCCTTTGTGTCCCGATTGTCCAGTTAGTAGAGCACATTTCATAAATACCCTAAAAGCAGCAGATCACAAATTAAATCTATTATCATTTTAAAGCACTATTTTTCTTTGCTTTTTACTCCCTGTTTTGGATGTTGGCATGACTTTTCACTTCACCAGTTTCAAAGCTTGTAGTAAAGGTGACGCTCTACAACCATTTTTGCCCTCATGTAAATAATCACCCAGCTTTTATAAGTAACATTTCCTCAATGTTTTTGAGGTCTACCATTTAGGCTTCATTTTTGATAATTTTCCATAATCTAAAGTCTCTATTTCATTATCTTGAAGCTCATTTGAGCAACAGAGTCACAAGAGATGTTGGTTGATAAACTCTGAGTAAGTCCTGAGTTTTGCTTATCCTGATATCTAGCCCTTGTGTACTCCTGATCTTGACAGTGGGTATCAGGGGAATCATTCTGCAACCACAGAAGGAAAAGTGACAGGGGACAACTTCTCACAAATTTTGTCACTGGAGATTGGAGTTTTCCTTTGACTATTAGGCTCGTTCTTTCTCTAGCATTGATTACAGAGAAGCCCATGTAACAAAGGACAGTCACAGAAAACTTCACCCTGCTTTCAGCCACCTGACCTTAGAAACAAATCTCTGCCTCCGAGTCTAGCCTGAGATGAAAGTATAGCCCGACTGTCATCTATGTTATAGCCTTGTGAAAGATATTGGAGCAGAAGGCCTTGACCTGCAAAAAACTGAGATTATAAATGCGTGTTATTCAGGCCAAGTAGGTTCTTAAGATGTAATTCCAGTATTTAAGTTTCTGGAAGAGAGCAGAAATCTATGGGTGCTGTAGGAATTTCTCACATTATAATATTCCTGAAGTTGAATCACTGCTCTTGGTTCATTCTTTCTGAAGCAACATGTTCATAGCCACCAGAATGTTTCTCTGGAGTTTAAAATGTCCACACTTGTGCCTATATAGTTTAAACCATTGAATTGTATAGATGACCAATACACTAAGATACAACTGGTAATCACAGAGCACAAGGCCCTCAACTACGCAGACAAGCATAATACTGTCTTCCATTGCAATCCCATCTCTCTGCAAAAGCATCACACACCCCAAACCTCCAAGCCACTTAGAATGCCTATCCTCTATCTCAGCCCCAATCAAATTAAAACAATGAATCTGTCAGGTACAAACAAAATGTCATGTCTTCTATGAATCACCATATCTGCTATCATCCATCTTGTATTCTAAGTTTAAATTTTGTCTCTCGCTCACTAGACTGTGGGCTGTTGCATGGCTTGGGCTCCATCATACTGAACAATGTTTAGAGTAACCTTGTCAGAAGTTGCACGTTTATCATATGTATGAACATATACAAAATCTGCTGATAAAACAAAGACTGGATAACAATTATATCTGTTTCAACCAAGTTTATGAACAGACACCCTTTTGTTTTTATGCTTAACAAAGACACATGTAAATCTCTAAGTCATTTCTTTTCCATATCAAGTAAGATATAATGTTGATTATGTAAAAGGGTTCTTCAGCAATACTTTAAAGCAAAGTTCACTCTTACACTAAAAAACTTTTAGGTATCTTTTCTCTTTCTTGCCTTGAAATACTTCTGTATTAATTTGCTTCAAAGCAGAGCTCCTGCATATTGACTCTTGTTAATTATGTATTGAACACCTCTCTGAGTGTCTCTCTGCCTCTCTCTCTCTCTCTCTGCTAGCTTCTCAATATACATGAACACTTTAGATTTCCAGTTCACAGAAATAGATGAAGTATCTCTCATGCCTGTATGCAGACAGACACTTCAGTGAGCTTTGACATAAAGACCATGGCAAGACTGAACACGTAAAATTTGAATGAGAGCAAAACTTTTAAAGTTTCTGCTACAAGTCCTAGACTTCATTTACCTTTCTGTTGCTCCAAACTCATAAAATAGGAAAGGAAATGAAATAATTCCATAGCAGTTTGATACCGGGTCTTACTGTTTCCTTGGAAGGATAGTGAGCATGTCTATTCAGGATCCTGAGCTTTTAATAGTGTATTGAGAACATATTTTATCACCAAAAGCTTATAAATGATCAACCATTCAAGGGCAGTTGTACTAACACACCATCACTGGTGTCTTCCATGCTTCCATCTCCTACATTCTGTGTTGGTAGAGAGGAAATAGACAGCACCAAACACAGGAAACCCTTTTCCCCATATTCCATTCTTTCCATAGAGTTGCGCTATAGTGTAAAACATTTGGCACTGGTATTATCTGTATAAAAGAGTAAATAAACTTTAAGAATGGAGGAAATGCCAAAAGGAATACTTTTAACTATGAAATGTATTCAGTGATCAAGGCTGGCAATGGAAAATGTCAATGGTGATTT